AGTGAGTGTGTTTATTACCTTTTAATACCATAATGTTTTATATAACCGTATATATATATATATATATATATATATATATATATATAAATGTAGATAAAAAAGGACATAACTTCTTTTAACTCCAATTAATATCCCCGTTCGACCGAATGGAAGGATAAAAATTAGTCACTCATAAATACCCTAAGCCCGATCCCGGTATAGAATGGATCATCCCCTTCCTTTAGCGATATAAACTTATCTAAGATTTTAGTACTTCATGTACTTAAACAACGCGTCACTTGCAATATGCAATTTTCAATCTTTTTTTATACAACTTAGAATGGCAAATAAGCTGACGGCTCACCTGATGGAAAATGGTAACCATCGCCTATAGACATGAGCAGTACCATGGACATAACAGATTATACTGTTTCGCCCATGATACCCCCCATGCGTTGCCATTCCTGAGGACTCAGGTGTTATTCCTCTGTACCCTGTAAATTCACACCATATCCCACCCTTCGAACCGAAACACAGCCATGCAAACACAACTGCTTCACGGTAGAAACACGAATGGGACAGAGGTACCCAAACAATCGACTTTTGTACAAAGTTTCCCTCTGTCAAAGTCTCTCTCGTCTTCAATAAGAAGAATATTTTCAATTTGCTTGAAATATTATAAGATGCCATCCGTCTGAAATATTATAAAATATACCCAATGTATAATTTCAGTATATATCTACTTATGTACCAAATTTCATACAAATCCATTCACCCCTTAAGCGTCTTTAAGTAATAAACAGTAAAATACACATCATTTTTCACATTTATAGCTAGCCGTTTTCCGCGGCATTGTCCACGTGAATCAGTATATAAAGTATTCCATGTATTAAGTTAGGTCGTAACCTACTGGGTATCAAATTTTATATAAATACATTAATTCGTTTAAGCGTAATTGAGTAATAGTAAAGTAACTTTTACATTTATGATATTAACAGAATATTATTATTGATATTACTATTTGTTTTTGTAAGTATGACGTCATATACGACGTCATATACTTACAATAACAAATATATTAATAATAATTACTCATTGTTATAATTCATAGTAATTAAATATCCGTGACATACTGCATCTAATTACAACTGCCATACTACCGTAGTTATAAATAAATACCTAACAAATATATATATATAAATATATATATATATATATATATATATATATATATATAATCACTTGAACTCTTATTAAATAGTACGATATTATTATAGGAAGAAATCCTACGAAAAATTTCATGTATTCTGACATAGCAATTTCGCCTTTACGTTGATCTGTCAGTGTTTTTTAAGTATCTTAAATAAATAACCGCTAATATAAGGAACTTAATGGTCAAAAGTTGGGCAGCAGCGTCCTTCTTAAAACGTCACCAAAAGCATACTGTGACTGCCAATCCGCTTGCTAAGCATGGCAACTACAGTCGAAACCCCCCTTATTGAGGAGGCCTGTTGATATGATAATATAAGTAAATTAAATAATAAGTTATATAAGTTACCGCTTTCCATCAGGTGGGCCGTCAGCTTGTTTGACATTCTAAGTTTAAAAAAAATATATCAAAAATAGGGGGATTCTCAATTATGCATCTGTTTAATTTTTTTTTAAATAAAATATTTTAATTGGTTAATATTTCAATTTTTAAACACGTGATAAGTTTCTAAATTGTGTACTCTAGCTTAAAAACCGAGCGATTGGTGTAAATGTGTGGCATTTATCATTATTAAATTACACCCACACACATATTATGAAAAGTTGCATATTAATTATAATAAAATATGAGGCAATAATTACTATTCTAATTCATTTTTTTTATTAGTATTACTTCATTATACAATATTCGATAATAAAAAATACATTATGTGATGAACATGCACTATGTAGATTTGTATCCAAAAAGTAGTAATAATGTCAATGAAAAATAAAATTATTCCAACATAAATAAAAGAGTAATGTACCTACAGAAACAATAGTAGCAGTTTCTACTAGTAATACATGTATATTCTATTTTTTTTTAATGAATTATAACAGCTTAGTAACCTCGCCTGCGCTATCGGTATACACTGGCGGGACACCAGTGAGAAATGATAGGTGAGGATGCAGACAGGTCAGTTGGTCCGTCGTGTTGAATTAAAAAAAATCAATGGTTTTCTGGTTGAATGGTATATTGCTAGTAATATACCCTATATAGGTATTGTTAAGTTTTATTTTTAACTACACGGTTTTTACCCTTGAACATTATATAGTTTTCTTTCTGCTTCACAAAGGTTGACTGTAGAAGATCCCCCTATGGGATAAGTTCGACATCGTATATTAAATATTTTTAATATATCCTATGTGAATTATGTACAATAAAGATTTACAATAATTTAAAAATATTACTAGCAATAGGGTTGCCAATCCCATCACTAGCAATCTCTTCTACCTCTGTATATCCTATTTAATTGATTTCCACGCAGTCAAGCAGAAAACATTATAGTCTAAGACTGGTTAATTCCTAGTGAATTCATCACGATGAGCCACCTAACTACTTCGTCCTTCATTAGTCTCCCTCCACTGTACATTATTAGTATAAGCAGATATACCATTCAATCTTCATTCATTGACAGCTCTAATAATAATTATTGGCGTACTTCTTACCGAAGTGTGGTGACGGCAACGTCGCAATTAACTGTCAATTTTTTAAAACAATTTAACAATTTTCAATGTTGCTGGTTGATTATAATTTAAAAGTACTGTAATAGTGATCTTAAATGCTAATCTTAGAAAAATACTCTTATTAAGCACTGAAAATTTGAACTTTGTTGGTAAAAAAAGTATTTGGAAAATTCTGAAGCAAAATATGAAATAAGTGCAAAATTTCTGGCGGTAGATTTATATGCGATATATTTTATAATTAATGTTTTAATTCACTAGTGGAGCCCTTTTTAAATAATCAAACAGAAAAAAATAAATTATACAATTATTTTTGAATATAAATGAATATTGACAAATAATTGCGACGTTGCCACATTTCGATAAGACAAAGTATTAACGCTCTTAATTGTTACGCAAATAGGCGTTTTTTGCAGAGATCCTCAACCTCACATTGACATACATATAGTACTCGCTACTGCCTACATCTATTCTTTGCGAACCTTACCACTTAGACATAGAGACGCAAATAAAAAATTTCCTTATGCAACAACTGCGGTTGGCCATAAACCTTGAAGTTCGAGATAGGTGTAAACATACTTTTGGTTTTTAATGACATACCTATAACGATTCGATATTACTAATTCGATTCGATACTCTAAGGTACTTTACAAACTATTGCGAGCTATTATATCGGGAAACGTATATAAACGTAGTTTATGATATGATATGATGTTTGAAGTTACGCAACTATCTCTATTTGACTCGATACATTTTAATAACATTTTGATATAAAAATAAATAATATATAAATACACAGATATAGTCATGACCTGGGATAATAAGTAATCTTACATGATTTTTAGTTATGTTATCTACAAATATAATAAATATGAAAGCTTGTATTGGATGTTTGTTACTATTATTATAGGATTAAAATTTTAATGCAATTTGAAAATAGTTGAAGTATGACGATTGATACTTAAAATATTTTTATTTTATTACATGCAAACAGATCGTTGACTGCATCTAGTTTAAAAATAAAACAGACCAAAACATAACAGCAAAATATAAAGAGCAAAATTAAATAAAATACAGTCCTAGCTGACAATGTTGTTAAGAGACGGACTGGCTGAAAACCAGCGCAGTGCAGCTGTACACATTGCACTGGGACACTCACAGCATTAGCTAAGCTAAATTTCTTTTGACTAATATGAGACCCTTCTTATATAAAATATTACTGTATTTTCTGCTGTTACTATTACCAGAGGGAGACTTTGTACAAAAGTCAATTGTTTGGGTACCTCTGTCCCATTCGTGTTTCTACCGTGAAGCTGTTGTGTTTGCATGGCTGTGTTTCGGTTTGAAGGGTGGGATATGGCGTGAATTTACTGGGTACAGAGGAATAACACCTGTGTCCTCAAGAATGGCAACGCATGGGGGGGTATCATGGGCGCTACAGTATACTCTGTTATGTCCATGGTACTGCTCATGTCTATAGGCGACGGTTACCACTTTTCATCGGGTGGGCCTTCAGCTTGTTTGCCATTCTAAGTTGTATAAAAAAAATAAAACTATGTGTGTATTTTTTAAATAAATGTTTTCTAATCTATGGAGATTTCTATAGATGATGTAATTTATAAAATCATAAATGTCATAACAATATTTTTAAATGGCAAATTCTTATTTTATATAGGCAATGATTTACATATATTATATAGCATGAATTGTTAATTTTTTTTTTTTGCAATATAGATAAAATTATTTTAAAACAATTAATTTTCAATCGACTTAAAAAAGTCTTTTCAATTCAATTGTAGTTTTTTTTTTTTGTAATTGCTATATCTCATTACACCGTCAGTTATAAATTGTTATATTAATTGCATGAAAATTTTATCAAAATCAACTTAAGTTCAGTTTAGTTTTTAAATCCAAATAACTAATTTTGCCACATTTGAAATTGTTTTTTTTTTTTTGTGGAACATAATCTTAATTTATTTCTCATAGGAAATTGGATCGGAAAAGGATTTAACACTTAGAGTTTTCCATAATAACTTTTAAAACGAAAGCTTTTATATTTTAGCTTATATTTTAGATTTATTATATACTATTTTAATTATTTTATTTAAAAACTGTTGTTGTTTGTTTAGGGTTGTAATTGACTAAATTGATTAACTAATCCAAGGAAAATAGATTACAACATAATTCATGAAGTAAATCGCGTACAAAACTCGTAATGAAATAAAAAAATATACCTGAGTTGTTTACTTTCACTCTATGCACAAACATAAAAATAAACGATTGTCATTGAAAAGATTTAAGCAACTTACCGGTCCGCTGAATATTTCTTCAAGCCGCTGTTTTTGATTCTTGCCTTTTTTAGTTCTCACCAGCAAAATTACTTCACTGATGTCTGGACATTTTCTGCAAAGAAATAATGAAGCAACTGTAAGATAAGCAATCAACCTTGAGTTACCCAGAGGTATAAAAGCTTAGTTAGCTTTAAAAAATCCGATAGAAACTAACATATGAATCTAACCGGTATAGGCGATATCGAAATAAGCGATGACCTTTTCTTCGACATAAATGTCCAGATAGACTTAATATATAGATCGGTGTGATACCGGTATATTGAGAGGAATTATTTACGAAAAACAATAGGTACAAATGTACTTATACAAATAAATATGTTGTTCAGTCAACTTGGTAAGTATTTAAAAGAAGTTTGGACTACGAACTATGTATGTATGTACATACATATAATATATACAGGAACTATAGTTTACTATTTTCCTAACGTGATAGGCTGTCAATCACCGTTATTGATAATAATGTCATTTTATTTGTCGTTCCATGTGTACAATGTTATTTTCTACCGTGTTTCGGTTTGAAGGATGGGGTATGGCAGTGAATTTACATGGTACAGAGGAATAACATCTGAGTTCTCAGGAATGCATGGGGGGGGGGGGGGGTTGGTATCATGGGCGAAACAGTATACTCTGTTATGTCCGTGGTACCGCTCATGTCTATAGGCGACGGCTACCACTTTCCATCAGGTGAGCCGTCAGCTTATTTGGCATTCTAAGTTGCATAAAAAAAAAACAATGTGTGGTGGTAATTCCCTATATACCTACCTGAGAAGTTTCTCCACCAAAACCTTCCCCATGAAACCGGTTCCTCCAGTGATGAACACCTTCCGGTTGGCGAAAGAGGCAGATATGCGGTCCGGCATCTTCTCCAACTCTTCCTCATTGAAACCTTCGAACGACATCTCGAAGGGTTATCTATGTACAAAAAAAAAATTATATTGTAAGAAATGTGACATACTCGTATTAAACTTTGAAAAATTATAGACTACTAGTTTTTACCCGCTATTTCTTGCGTATTACCGAAAGTACCGTAAACTGAAACTTTTACCATTCCATATAGTACGTTTACATCAAATTTAATAGAGATTAGTTAAGCCGTTAAGATACTAAGATAACTGTTTATACATGTGGACATAAGTTTTAAAAATAAGAAGTAAGAAACAAATACTATCATATTTTTATATTTTTGTTTGTCTATAGTAACATTATAAAGAGGAAAGATTCGATTATTTAATTCTCCATTTGTAATGAACAAACTCAAAGTATGTTCGACTAATTTAAAAAAAATCACCTATATAAAGCTACATTATCCACTGATCTGCTCATGCTACTCGCTAGTAACATGGACTGTATATTTATTTTTAATAACTTTACAAAGTCGTGGCGGGTCGCTAGTAGATAATAAATAGGCAAGCGCAGATTTACATTACATTTTGAGATCAATTACTAACTCTTAAACTACAGGCAGGTTAGTGCTTAGTCACAACTGCAATCACACAAGTATAGATTGTCAACGATAACATGGCATGACCCTCTAAAATTCAAAGAATAAAAAAAGAGTGAGTAAGAATATTTACAAGATTTCGACCGAGGAATATAATACTTCTCAGGCCGGACAGTTACTGAAGAAGTTTCCTCACAAACACAAACAAAGCACCACGTCTGTATGAGATCACACACATTGAAGTAAAATATTGAAGGTGCGTGCCATATTAATATAGACTAAGTACCTAAGATTATTTGAAGTCAGCGCAACACTGTCATGTCTCAATTTACAGGTAGGTAATAAAACTCTTGGTTCCAATTTATGTCAAACTAGAATTACTAGCAACTATGTTACGTAATATACGAGGTTTGTCCGGAAAGTACGTATAAAAGTTTTTTAAAAATTTTATTTTACAATTATTCAGGTAAATCAATTTTATCCCCTTCAAAGTACTCCCCCTGTGACATAATGCACTTGTGCCAACGCCGTTTCCACTGTGAGAAGGCTCCTTGAAAGTCCTCTGGTTGTAGGTTTCTCAGCTGCCCCGTCGTAGCTTTTTTTATCTCATTTATGTCCCCCAAATGCCGCCCCCGAAGTACCAATTTGGTTTTTGGGAACAAGAAGAAGTCACACGGGGCCAAATCCGGCGAATAGTGGGGGTGTTCGGTCACCGTAATGGAATTTTTACTCAAAAACTCACGGACAACAAGAGAGGTGTGGGCAGGGGCATTGTCGTGGTGAAGAATCCAACGCCCCTCTCGCGCCAATTCTGGACGAACTCGTGCCACACGAGCTTTGAGGCGTCTGAGCACATCGACGTAGAATTTTCCATCAACTGTCTGGCCTGGAGGGACGAATTCTTGATGGACAATCCCCCGAACATCGAAAAAAACAATCAACATTGTCTTGACATTTGAGCGGGATTTTCTTGATTTTTTTGTTCGTGGTTCCCCGGATGTCTTATCGAATTAGATCGGCAAAAATTTCACGGCCATTCTTGCCTAGTTTCGAGAGAAACTTGATTACGACGCGCTGCTCTTCAACGGAAGCGGGCTCAATGCCGACGGGGTTTCGTTAAGAGGTAACTTCACAGATGGCGTGACAAGCCAGTTCGCACCGCACGGCGGTCAGACCAGAACTGAAGCATTGTTAGGGACATAAGGAAGGGGTCCTGCGCTTACCTGGCCTCCCCACTCCTCTTTCTCGCATTCCAGAACACTTTTATACGAACTTTCCGGACAGACCTCGTAGTCTTTGAAGTGAATCCGTTCTACAAAGTCAATTAATAAATATTATAACTGCCTGGATTTAGTTTCATAAAAAAGAACATCAACTTTAATCTTGATAAAAATCTATACTACGATTAAAAACCAATCTATAGTACTAGTTTTGTTAAAACCTCCATGAAACCAATATGAAAGTATATCCCTTCAAATAAAAAAAATTAAAACGGTTTATAAAAAATGAAGTCCTGAGATAACAAACATAAAAAAAATACAACCGAATTGAGAGCTAAAAAAATTATGACCTGTTTTTGGTAAAGCCTTTGTAAGAGGACACTCTATCTATATAATCTAAATATAATTGATGGCTTTAGAAAATAATAATAAACACGAACAAACATACAAACAGAGAAATTTATTTAAAAAATTATCCGTTACGGTTCTGTACCCCATATATATTATATACACAAAGGTAAATATGTTTAAAGTTTATTGTTTAATGTTAATTTATTTTGTTACAATTTTATTAGGTATATAAAAAATAAGAGGATGAGTACCTAATTAAAGGCTAGTACAAGTAAGTAGGTATGTAAGTTTATATATATATAGCACAGAGAGAGCAGACGATCACGCGGCTCACCTGCTGGTAAGTGACTACCGTCGCCTATGAGCACCCGCAACACCGGAGGAATTGCATGTGTGCTGCCAGCCTGTACGTACGGCGCTTAAACTCATCATCCGATAAGCAAGGTTAATCATCATTATATTAATCATCATCCGATTAACAACGGTTTTGGTAAGTAACAATAGCGACTAACAATCTCTTGACACTAGAGAGCGACACCTATACACAAGTAATCATAGTAGCAAAGGACTATAAGTCTTACATGTTTTATTATGAGATAGTTGAGCAATGTCTGCCACAGTTGACCTTCAGCAAATATGTCGAAAATTGTATAACCAATTTGACCGAATTGTAATTTATGGCCAGTATGATGACAGATGCAAATGTTATAACAAAAGTAAATATTTTGCATGATTCTAGCAAATATGACACGATATTTGTTTGTTTGTTTGTTTGTAACACTCTATTGTACAATAATGTCTTATCTCTTAGAATATAAAGTTCTTACGAAAAGTTTGAGTACGATGGTGGACTTAACTCATAAAAGGAGTTTATTATTTTATTTCAAAGATTGAATGGTGCCATGATGTCGTTTCAAAAAATAATTAAACAAAACTTCTTTTGTTTACCATGTGAATTCCTTAAGGTGAGCCATATTTGTATATAATATTGAAATTACAAAAAAGTCTTATTAGGCGTTTCAAGTCTCAACAGTTTACTGTAATATTACTGAAAAATTATCTAAATCGTTATAAGAAGTGGAAAGATTAGATTTTGTTATTTGTATTAGATACTTAATCAATTTTAATTATTCTTTCACTTGTAAAGCTACTCTTTTTTTTTTATACAACTTAGAATGGCAAACAAGCTGACGGCCCACCTGAAAGTGGTAACCGTCGCCTATAGGCATGAGCAGTACCATGGACATAACAGAGTATACTGTTTCGCCCATGATACCCCTCATGCGTTGCCATTCCTGAGGACTCAGGTGTTATTCCTCTGTACCCAGTAAATTCACGCCATATCCCACCCTTCAAACCGAAACACAGCCATGTAAACACAACTGCTTCACGATAGAAACACGAATGGGACAGAGGTACCCAAGCAATCGACTTTTGTACAAAGTCTCCCTCTACTCGTATATAACCAGCAAATAACATAGGCTATATTGTTTTTAAACGTGCGAAGACGCTATGGATTGCTAGTTATTTGAAAAGTGATCAGACAACAAACTAAAACGTCACTTCTAAATCATCAGGCACATAAATATACCATTACATATTTCACTGCTATTTCATATTTCATATTTTTCATTCATAATTTCCATAACTTCTTTTTATATCTAAAATTTGGCTGATTTGTTATTATTATGAAATTATTTTTATTAGTTTGTAGCTTAAATGGATTTTAAATATCTATTTATATGAATAAAAATGAATTAATTATTTTCCCATACAATCTGTTTCTTTAACAGAACACCGTCTGTTCGGTTCAGCTAGTTTATCATAAATATTTTTTTTTTAACAAGTCATATATTATTGTAATTAAACAATTGTCACGTTTTAGTACAAATGCTTTTAATATCTAGCAATAAACCCTATGAAGTTGACCTCCATACATGCGTTCTCCCCTGAAATTCATTGAGGTTAATTCCTAGTGATTTCATCCTAAGGATGGAACTTCGCCTGTCATCCCTTAGTGACAATCCATTCCCTTAAAGAGAAAACATGAACACGACAATAAATAAAATTTGTTGGACAATTTTATGACTTTGCTTACAACTATTTAAAAAATCATTTGGAAAATACTCGACTTCATATCGTCCTTGCAATATTACTCAGTCCTCAATTGCTTTATTTCCGGCCTCAGCAGTATTATGAATATATTAATTTACGTCAATTGTAAGAAATTCTTGTTAAGAATGCTCAGTAATTTAGTTATGATGCTATTAAAAATGTTATTATATAAAAAAAAACTAATATATATTTTACTTCAATCAATTCTTCAGAACTCCTGAAAATTTTCTAAGTAAAAAATCCAATCTCGTAAACACACTCTGAATTCCACAAATGCAAGACTATTTTTCTATAAATACAGCAGCTATGTACTAGAAATACAAACGTGTCTACATAAGAAATGCGACACAAAATTGAAGTAAAAAAAAAATTTATATTAATACAATACAATAACTATAATTCTAAATAAATATACAAGTATGATTATATTTGTTATAGGTACATTAACTAAAATGTAAGACATTTTTTTCTGTTAATAAAGTAAATAAATAATAAAAGTAAAATAGAACATAATTTGTCATTAAATAACGTGAAACGTTCTGATTGGACGATAGAAGACGTTGTTTTATAACAGATCATAATGAATATTTTTACAATTACCTAGAACTAGAATCATTAAACATTTTTTAACGTGTACCTATTGTCGTCTCTCGAAAAGATAAATCATTATTTTACTACTTATAAGCTTACTTTACTTGGAACAATACGAACACTCGAAATTTTATGTCTTTATTTAAAATTCGAACATAAGGCAAATACGTATTATAAATTTTATATTCTAATATCTAAAAAGTAGAAGCCAAAACTTTGATTTATAATTTTAATGAAATATAAGATAATAATCTATAGACCTCAATAATAGCAATGCATTAGGATTACGACAGGCATCCCAATGTAAATGTAATGTCTGCTACTTTTAAATCTAGTTACGCGAAGACGCTGCTAAAATGTTTATTTTTTTTTTATACAACTTAGAATGCCAAACAAGCTGACGGCCCAACTGATGGAAAGTGGTAACCGTCGCCTATAAATATTTGAATTTAGAACACAGAATCGCGTCTCTTAGTATTTACCTATTTTCAACTTAAAAAAAGGGATCTTAATTCGGTTCTATGAGTTTTTTTTTTTTTTTGTATTTGTTACCTCATAACTCCGTCAGTTGTAAACCGATTTGGAAAATTCTTTTTCATCTGTAAAAATATACTTACAAATTAGTCCAATAGAAATTTTATCAAAATCGGTACATTAGTTTAAGTTTCCAATCAAAATAATAAGTTACAATTAAAGTATGTAGTTTTCTTTTTGGACAATCTTTGTGTATTAATAATAAATAATAAATATTGCTTCTCAATAAGCTCCACAAAATTAACAACAGCTTCAACCGTCTCAAATTTAAAATGAAAATTGAGAACGACTTCCGTCAATTGACTTCGAAAGAAGGAACAAATGTTATTTAACAAGCAAACGACACATGATTTACATAATAATAATGCACCCATGACAGCAAACACCTCTTACAAAGATGTCAACATTACAAACAATACGTCATTATTTAAGATTTAGCCTTGAAACACGACAATTCTTTATTCTATCTACTTACTTACTAATATGTTGAATGTGAACAAGAGTTTGTTTGTTAGTAACCTCATGACATTTCAACGACTTTATAAATTGTTATAAAATCTCTTATACTTACACGTGATATTTGTAATGAAGAAGTAGATAGGCTAATTATTATCCTTGTTAATCAACAACACGGTAACGAAGACGAAATGTAAAAATAATATTTAATATTTTTAATGTACAGTCCTAAAATAATAAAAAAAGAGACTTTATGATGCATCTTCAGCCATTCGTCTGTCACAATATACTACATTTCATTTCAACAGCCGATAGGTCTCTTTATATCGAAGTCTAAAATATAAAAATCTCAGTTCCATATAAATAATTTATAAATTAAACTTCCATAGGCTTGAAATTTTATATTATACGTTACTTTGCCCCCTATTGTCAGAAACCGAATAATTTTTAAACAATTTTGTTTAGATTACCTTATTTGTGTTTTTGTGGGTCAAATTTATTAATTAAAATTACCAGCCTAACTATTATTAATATTTTAGTACATTATCTAGATCGTTATTACTATTATGTTTCTTGGAAATAAAAATATTTTACTTATTTTATTTTTGGAATAAAAAGTATCCTGTCTCAAATTTGATAACACGACGATAGGATGGAGTGACAATCTCGAAAGTGTAGCAGGGAATGGATGCAACATGGTTGTCGTAAAAGGTGACTAAAGGAACTTAATACTCGAGGGATGGGCAGCAGCATCCCTCTTAAAATATCACCAAAGGCTAACTGCGATTGCCAACCCGCCTGCCAAGCGTGACAACGACTGGCAAAGCCCCCCAATAGGAAGGAATTATGTTCAACAATGGATAATTAATTATTAACAATGGATACGATATGGTACGGATTGATGATGATAATGGTGACATACAGGTCGAAATCGAAATAATTAGTATTATTTTATTATTATTATTATTAGTTGGATTTATTAGTTAGATTTTTTATGCAACTTAGAATAACAAACAAGCTGACGACCCACCTGATGAAGAGTGGTAACCGTCGCCTACAGACATAAACAGTACCAAAGACATAACAGAGTGTACTGTGTCACTCATGACACCCTTTACACGTTGCCATTCTTAAGGGCTTTGGTGTTATGTTTCTACACCCCGTAATTTCTTTACCATAACACATACAATATACGCTATTATGTCCATGGCACTGTTTATGTCTATAGGCAACGGTTACCACTCTTCATCAAGTGGCTCGTCAGCTGGTTTGTTATCCTAAGTTGCATAAAAAAATATTTAATAATTGGATATCCATTTACAGCATTTATTTAAAAGTCAGCTTTTTCTGCATTGTTAGCTATTTTCCTATCGATATTAAATCTTTGTGTCAATAAACATGTTCATTGTTATAACTAGTTTTCACCTGCATCTTTTTTCACATAAATAGGATATATTATTTAACTGGGATAGAAGAATAGCCTATGTTCTTCTCCATCCAAAATACTATTTGTACACTAAATTTCATGACGATCGATTATCAGTCGTTAAGACACCAAAAAACCACAAACAAAATCACTGTCACATTAAATATTAATAGAATTTATTAAAAAAGGTTGAACTTTTTTAACAACTCTAGAAGAGTTTTTTTTATTATTATTTTAATTTAAGAACTGTTTATTTAAATTAATACGCAAATAAATTAGTCGATTGATACAGTCATGTTCGATTGCATCGAAAATGGTCTATCCGTTTGGGAGCTAGGACAACACAAACAAAATACAAACAAAGGCTTCCATCTTATAACATAATTTAAATAGAAAATTAAAACGCATGAAAATATTTTATGATAAAACAAGAATAGGTCATACGTAAATAGGCCACTGCACTCTCATCCTCAGGATATCGCATGAGGCAACTAAAAGAATAATACGCTAGTGCAAAAAAAATTACTTTCAAATCTAAAAATCTTAACCTAAGTCGCTTCACCAGGTTATCTTAGCCTATATACTCTTCTTAAAGGGAGGTTCTTCTAGCTTTGCAATATCCTGAGGATAAAGAGGACTGATCACACATTCCTATCCTATCAGCACAGTAAACATCGATTCATAAAAAGAAATATTTTATACTTACAATAGAATCGAATATTCTACTAGGTATCTGTATATCAAGATGCAAATTGCTTAGGTAGATAAAAAGTACTTAAGTACAAACTCACCTATAGCAAAATACTTAATAAACACAACTACACTATACGCTGTAATGGGAAAAACTGACATAGCTTACCAAGAGTTGCCACTAGGCACCTTGCAAAACTGTATTGCGTTATGTTAACTGCCTATTTTGAACTTTAGACTTTATCGCTAAGTATATTAAAGTCATATTACAGCATATATTGCAACTACGCGTCATTTTATATTTGGGTTAAGTTCAGTAAATTATAAGTGGTCTTATTAAAAATTGTGTATTTTCCCAATTATCATGAAATTTACTCCGCATGTCTCTGTTTATATGGACAGACGGGGATTACATACAATGTGGCAACGGTTTGATTTGAAAGGAGAGAAGGATAGAGCCGGCGAATGTTGAAACCGACAAGGACTTGATAAATGACGACAAACGTAATACAATTTTGTGCATTGTTCCAGTCTGAAGTAGCAAAAAAAATTTATGATTGGGTTTTACAAAAAAAAAAAGATTTCTATTATGAGAAGACCAGCAATTTTTATTTAAAAACTAAATTACTGAACCGATTTTGATAAAACCTCTATGGGAACAATTTCTGCCTACCCTAATAGGAGACAGGCGTGACAGATATATATGTATGTATGGGAACAATTTTGATGAAATCTCTACGAGTTCAATTTGTAAATATATCCTTTTAGAATCTTCCTTTTTTTTTTTAAGTTCATTGAAAAAAAAATTGTATGACTACTTATTCACTTAAATAAATACAACATACACCAGATTTTAAATTAGATCTTCTGGTGCACAACTTTGAAAACCGCTTTCAATTTGAATAATAATTTTTGTATGATACCGGAACAAATAAACAGACAGACAAATATTTTAAAAATTTTTGTTTTGGCATCTTTACTCTTAATAAGAATTCCTATATATTTTTCCTTATTTATGTCCTATTTACAAATATCGTTTTTAGATAGAAGATATATAAAAAAATATATTATAAAAGTTATATAATATGTATGTATATGTGTAAGTTTATTATATTAGTAAGACTTGTAATTCTTTTATCATTTATTGCAAACTAAAATTTGGTACATTTTGTTAATAATAATTTGTTTTTCAAATCATGTTAGTAAAATGTAAACATACAACTACGTCAATTCATTTTGTTTATCTATGAAGCTATGAAGTTTGTATGAAGTTTGTATGAACTATGATGATAGAGAGTACTTAAGAATCTAATTTCTTACCACGAATAATAATGCCTGTATATTCTGGAATACATTATTGATTGAAAGGTAAATAATTATAGAATTATAGAAATGTAAGTTTGGACATAAGTGAGATGTAATCCTCAAAACGTCAGGAATGGGAACTATAAGATAAATTATCTAATCATAAAGTGAAAATTTTGTGGTGCAGCGATTTATACTGCCTCACCTCCGAGTTGCGGGTTTGGTTACCGCACAATACAAACATTTATATTAATGAGTATATCTGGTATTCGTCTTGTTGTTTTTCATTTGTACCTATGTATTTCCAAAAAAAAAACACTATTTAAATATTAAGTTTTAACTAACTTTCATCAGTATTACCAGGATATGAAACAGCCTACCTATAATGATAGGTTTAGTTGTTGAGGCGCCAAGAGGTAACAAACAAACAAATAAACATACAAACTAACTTTCACATTCATAATATTAGCAAGGATAACTAACAATTATCTAGTATCCGTAAATGGCGTTGTTCACTACTATTTATTTATTTACAAGCTGTGGTAACGGCTTTGTTTGTGTAACCGAGATAAAAGCAACATGTGCTTCTCCAACAAAAATAGTACCGGTATGCTAAATTTCATAATGGGTTGTTGAGCCATTATGGCCCCAAGAGGTATTGAAATCAGTTCCAAATTTAATATATTAATAAGGATAAAGATTGATTTATATTTCTGATTATAATCAGATTCGATTCGATTCGATTTCATCCATTCTTCGATTTCATAAATATATATCAGATACATATATTTTTTTAAATGTATACAATTAAAAAAAATATATGTATCTGATATATATTTATGAAATCGAAGTATTTTATTTTCATGGACTTCATAATATATATTTTTTTTTTCTAACACAGAGAGCAAATGAGTATGCGGCTCACTTAATGTTTTTTTGAATTTGAAATTTGAATTTATTTATTTATTTATAAATTGCTCACCATACGTACAGTATCTCAAAACGTGTAGTGTACCATAGGATAATTTTACAAACTTAAAAATTTTAAACAACGTTTAAAAAATAAATCTAATTTGTCATTATATATATAAATATCTGGCTGCTTGAGATTATCAGAAATCAGAGAATTGAGCCTGATAAGCGGGAGCAAACTGTGCAGTACAGATGCGAACCGGGGCGGCACCGCACCGATAGTAATCAACAAACACGCAATCGCATGCAGCTTTAGGGTGCGTACAAAAAACAACGGCTGAGAGTTACAGGATAGTCTATTCTGCCGTTGATCAACCGATAATAGATTAGATTTAGAGGAAGGCCCATTTTATTGAAGGTTACGATGTGGTATCGATTTAGAAATACCTAATAATAAATGTCGATAACGAAAATTAGCAGCAGATATCAATCCGAACAATACTTTAGAATAATTGATGGTTATTTAATATATTTTGACATATTCTATTATAATATCAATAAAATTTAACATTAGGTATATAATTAACTGGCGCTCAGCTTCATAGTTTTTTTTTTTTAAATACAATATTTTTTTTAATTAAAGAAGCCGCCTTACAAAAGACCAATAAAAAGTATCATTATCGGTCTAAAACCTATTTATTAAGACCGTTCTATTGAGACCAAACACGTTATATATATGCTGTGAGTTGCTGAGGAGTTGGGTATCCTGCAGATAAATATAGAGATGGAGACATATTTATTTGTAAATATGTGTGTATAGTAGGTACAAAGACATACTGGTCATTCATTGATGGATTCATATAGATCTAACAGGTTTTGCTAACATTAGCTTGCAAAATGTTCTTTTTTAAGGACTGTGACAAGTTTTGTGCTTTACAAAATAAATTTAGGGCAGTGTATGTTTTGTACCAATTGGATACAAAGAGAATAATATTTATAACATGTTTCCTTAAAGGATACACTTTTCTGTTTAGATTCCGATACATTGTGACATCTATGGTAATAATAAAGCTGATTTACTTGTAAATGAAGCAATTTTTTTAAAATTATACCACGACTTGCCTGCTTTGCCTAAGGTCTGTCTTCGTAACTCTTGGAGCCAAGCTTTGGTCATTAAAAATTCCTTTTCCTATAACCATTTTATGCTTATTAGCTCATATTGACCCTTTAATCTATCATTCCTTAGCTTCCTTTATTTTTCATAATAACATTAGACTATAACTATCATTAATACTAAAATCCTTACTATTCCTTTTTAATATCCTGTCTCGTTTCCTAATCCTGTGGCTTAAGGGCCTTTGCCAAGTTTAAAAAAATACATGATTTCAAATAAAATTATAAAGTCAGTAGCAAATGTTAAAAATTATATTAAAATTTGTCACATATACATTCATCAATATCATTCGTCATTCATTAAATAGTATCTTTCAGATTTTTCTGAACAAGTTCATGTTTACATTTTTATATTCATCTGGAATTTTATCACAGATTTTTGGGGCCAAATATATAATAGTTTTTTGCAATAAAGTGGTTATGGCTGGATAATATTAATAATAATAAACCGATTTGAATAAAATTTCAATGTGGTCAATCTATAATATAAACCACACACAAAAAAAATACAACCGAATCGAGAACATCCTTCTCTTTGAAGTCAGTTAAAATATAATTCTTTTCTCTTACAAAAGTATACTTTTCTAATACAAAAGTATTGTATCTGTTTTATTTTTCACTGTAACATTTTTAATATGCATGAGACTACAGCATACAAACAATAATAATGAAAAAAAAGTAATAGTATACCACAAACATAGACATAGATACTTAACTTAATCAACATTGCAAAATTTTTGGACTTTGAGTTGTTATTGCGAAAATTAACTAGAAAGGGTAAAAGTCAATAGTAAAACTCAAATGTGTCATATTTAGAATTTAGAAATGATGCCTATTATATAAATTACGTCATAATGAGAAAATATTTATTTGTGTATTCTCTTATTGCTTAATAAAATTTGCACAAGTGGCAAGCTAGATGCTGTATGGCCTTCTCTACCAGCTAACCACTAGGCAGAAATAGAAAGCGATTGAAGAACAGTGCGGTGAAGTATTAAATTTTATATTTGTCTTAAATTTTATATTTTTCTCCTGTGAACGCTCAGTGGGACAAACTCTCTATCAAGGTTTTCCCTAAAGATTACAGTATGGGGTTCTTTAAAAAGGGTATGTTAAGGTTTTTCAAGGTCGGCAAAACGCACGTGACACTTAGTGTTGCAGGTGTCCATAGGCTGCAGTAACCATTTATCACTAGACGGGCTGTCTACTTGTTTTCTACCTTTGCGGTATAAAAAAAGAAAGAGTTCATGTATTTTTATAATAGACAAAATTGTTTAATTTCTTACTTGTTTCATCAGAATCGATAAAGTGAAAAATGTTAAATCATAAATCAATTTTGAATCGTTTTTAACCAAAATTAAAGTATTTATCCCAGTCAATCAACATTTCCCTAACAAGCAGATAAAATTGTGAATAAAAGCTAGTAAGCGTTTAACACGCACTTATAACTATAATACACTTTCGGTTTATGAAAATGAAGTATGTCGTTAATAGCAGATAGACACGTGTATATTATTGTGCCCTATTTCAACAGAGTAGGCATATAATATATGTATGCTACCAAAAACATGAAATGTAAAAAAATGCCAAGCTCGCAACGCATTTCTTCCACTACAAAAAGTTGCGTATCTCATTAAAACTAAGTCAGTTATTTTACGAGTAGTTAATCGTTATTAATGGAAGTACCTAAAAACAACTTTGTTATCTAAACAATTGTTTGT